CCCCCGCTGTTTTGGGGACGGTGGCACGGGTTTGTCCCCCGCTGTTTTGGGGACGGTGGCACAGGTTCGTGTGTGTGGCCCCATTGCGGGGACGGTGACACACGGGTTTGTCCCCTGCTGTTTTGGGGACGGTGACATGGATTTGTGTCCCCCTCCCCATTTTGGGGACGGTGACATGGGCTTGTCCCCCCCCATTATGGGTTTGTCACCCCACCGTTACAGGGACGGTGACACAGGTTTGTCCCCACCGTTACAGGGACGGTGACACAGGTTTGTCCCCGCTGTTATGGGGACGGTGACACGGGTTTGTCCCCTGTTGTTTTGGGGATGGTGACACAGGTTTGTCCCCCCCATTATGGGGACGGTGACACAGGTTTGTCCCTTGCCATTACGGCTTTGTCACCCCACCGTTACAGGGACGGTGACACGGGTTTGTCCCCGCTGTTATGGGGACGGTGACACGGGCTTGTCACCCACCGTTATGGGTTTGTCCCCCGCCATCGTGGGGACGGTGACATGGGGACTTTGTCCGCCACCGTGACAGGTTTGTCACCCCACTGTTATAGGGACGGTGACAGGGGTTTGTCCCCTGCCGTTATGGTGACGGTGACACAGCTTTGTCCTCGGTGGTATGGGGATGGTGACAGGGGGTTTGTCACCTGCTGTCACAGGTTTGTCCCCCCACCGTTACGGGGACAGTGACGGGGTTTGTGTGACGGGGACAGGGACGGGCTCAAGGTCACGGAGGGGTGCTGGGCAGAGGACCCCGGTGTCCGGGTCCCCCCCTGCCTCGGCGACTGTTGGGGTACGGGGGGAGGTGACAACGCTGGGGGTGACCCGTGTGTCCCCCTGCGGTGTGGGTGTCTGCCTGTCCGACTGTGCAGGCAGCTGCCTGTCTCCCTGCCCCTGCCGGACCCGATGGGGCGTCTGCCCCAGCCAGTGTCTGGCAGCCTGGCCCTGCCTGTACCCGTCCGCACTGCCTGTACCCGTCTGCTCTGCCTGTCCCCACACCCCCTTCTGCCTGTCCCTGACACCCCCCCGCCTGTCCCTCCCCTCTGCCTGTGCCCTCCACCACTGCCGTGC